TGCAAACACAGGAAGCTAAAAATGGATACCCCTTCTTGAAATAAAGAGGTAGGGCAGAGAAGAAAGTGGTCATACACAAGTACAGTAGCAGTGATCAAGTAGCTTTGATGATACAAGGATATGAGTAAGGCAAGATTTGTAGAGGAAAAGCAATATTGCCTTCAGTGGTGTAATAGTCTGAGAGTAATTCTAATAAAGGATATTGTATCTCACTGCAAACCTTAAGTGGGAGTAACGTTTCTTTTGTAATTTCTGTTAAGTAATCTTTAATCCTTCAAGAAAACACAGCAGACTAACACTTCATAGCAGAAGGCTTTATTTGATGATGGTACCACCTTCCATGCCAAGAGGCATTTTGCACAGACAATAGGTGTAGCCATAATGTTAAATCTTTTTGTCTCCCTTTCCTAAGAGGAGAACAAAGCAGACAGAATCAGCCTGTGAGTAATCTTGCATTTTTCTTTCTTAAAAATATCCATACAGATCAAAGGAAACTTAATATGGATAGACTGACCCAAGAACAAAAATTCTGGAGCTTGCAGCGTGCTTAGTATTGGTTTTATCGTATCTTCTGTGTTGAAGAAAAACAGAATTAGTGAGTTTGTTCACCTGCTGTATAAAATGACTCTCTGACCTGTTTGCTTCAGGATTTGCTGGCTTTTCAGAGGACTTGGTGTCATCCAGCAGGTGAAAGTTAGCAGACTGCAGTAAGTCACAGTGTTCACACATGGCAGAGCCACTGCAGTCCAGCTGCTATATTTGGGAAACAAGAAATGCTTCGATCACTTCAGTGACCCCCACGCTTAAACTAGTCAAGTGAAACCACTCCAGACTGAACTGCAGAGAGCTCTTTTCTTGGCAAGGGCCAGACTGATGACTGAATCGGTTTCTGTCATCTTCCATTGCCAGGGTTCTGTGACTTGGGTCTTATGAAAATGTAGGCAAAGGCTGTAATTTTTTCAAATGCTGTGTACTTTTGGAAAAACAGTAAGTTGAAGAAGTATCTGATGAGGCATCTGCTGTTTTAATCATTTGTGGGCAGGCAGTGCCAAGAGGTTACAAATACAGCTTCCACCTGCAACTCAGAATATACCACAGCATTTAGAAGAACTCACATTTTTGCTATACCATTGCTCCCACACATAGATAAACAGCTTTGATTTTCACATGAAGGTGTAACTGTCCCAAAAGCATCTGTCTTTAGAATTGCCCACTGTTCCATGGTGCCGGTCAAAGAATTAAATCTACTTGTAGTATTTTGATACCTCTTATTTTATCTGAAGGTAGATGAGATTGCTTGTAGTGAGAAATTTCTGAATATGACCGTGTACTGATTGCTTCCTTCAGAGGAAATGGTGCAATGCAAGGAAGCATGGGCAGTCTTCATCTTTTATTCTTTTGTATTTTTGTACTCTCTATCTAATCAAAACAATGGATTTAGACCCAAATTTCAGGTAACCTAATCCTGACAGGATTTGGAAGTGTTGTACTTACATGCTAAGGCAGGTTTTGTGGCAGTATGTGAGCATAAGTTTGAAGAGGTGGCTTTGGTAATGCAGCAAGGAGGAAGGCAAGGCAGCCACCAGAGAGCCAGTTGTGCTGCAGTTTCAGTATGTTGAAAGGATCTGAACTCCTCCAGAAGCAGGGAGGACATCCATATTTCAATCTCCATATGTCTCAGCCTCCACAGGATCCCACAAAATAGGGGGTCTGCTTAGAGAATGAAGTCAAGAAGGATCCTTGCCACTCTGCTAAGGTAGCCACCAAGACTAGGAAACAGCCCTGGGGATAGGTCTTGACCACATGCAAGAACACTCAATTTTCCCTGCCCTAGCCCATGGGGCCCATGAGAAGGACATGAATTTTTCTCTGCCCTTCCTAGCATTTGCCATCGAGAATGCTTGCCTGGACAGTCTTACTTGAGAGCGGGCAAGTACTGAAGGAGACAACCCAAAGTAGAAAATAACTCAGGATTTCAAACTCTCCCATCATTTTGACTTTCTTAGCCATTTGGCTGTGGTAGGAGCATGTGAGCATGGCACTTTTCAGACATGCAAGAAGTTCCCTTGTCCAAGTTTAGAGTGTTCAGAGTGAAAAGACACGGTGAGAGGGTAGGCAGAGCTCCAATGTAAAGAAACAACAAAAGGACTGGTCTGTACCAGTCAGCATGATGCACTGTGGGCTGCTTCGCAGCAGGCAATTTTTAAAAAGTACCTGAAAGTGGAAATGGCAGGTGAGTTCAGGAGGACAAACCATGCTTAGGGGACACATGTTTTGAACATACCATCTGTGCATTTCTGGGCCTTCACCCCATGCTGTTACTTTCACATGCTAAGGTGAATCAAAGTGTCTGGGTAGAGTCCTTTGCATCAGAGAGTTTCCTCTGCGGTTCTGTTTCTTCAGTGACTTCAGGTGTGTGGAGCCTCCTGAGTAACAGAAGAGCAGCCTTCACGTGCTCCTGTTGCTGCAGAGGTCAAGCTACTCTCTCTGGTCCTGTCCAGATCCAGCTGCTTCACACTCAGCTGGCATTATCAAAGCTGATGCATTTAGGGAAAGTCATTCTCCACTAAGTAGCAGCAGGTTCGGTGAAAACACAGCAAAGTGTGAGAACAAAAGATTACATATGTTGTCACTGTGCAAAATTCCCTTCAAACTCATAGCCAGTTCCTGAAGACTAATCAATTCATCCGTGTATATGTAATAGTTGCACTACCAGGATTCTTTTCATTTGTATGTCAGCTAACCGGAATAGCTTTTAGTACTTTAAAAATAATAAGTAATTTGCCTTTTATGTCTGGTTGTCAAGCATGTCTCTGATCCAGGATTAGTTCACACTAAGGTATTCTTCACTCTACAAATTATTTTATCTGCATCTTTGATCTGTTTACTGTACTTGAGCAGCTCCCCAGGTAGCTCTTCTTTAAGCGAGATCTGATTTAGGGTGTATATTTCAGTCATGATTCTGTGTCATATCTGATGATTTCAGTCAAATCCAAGGACAAGTTTTAGAGTCTAAATGAAGACTGGAGATATTCAGCGGTAAGATTAAAAGAGGTTATGCTGTCAGTACAGAGAGCTGTCATGCTTGTTATTATGACAAAAAGTAAAAGCCAAAATTTTATTTCACATTTTACTTTTTCACAATCGTAAACCTTCAGTGGATCATTTGAATGCTATCTTCTTAAATCATGCTGAATATACCTTTGAGAAGTGCAAAGTGCAGTTAAGACAGTAAGATTTCAAGGTGCTCAGCATGTTACAATAGGCATCCCACTTCATTAAAAATGTGTAGACATCCCTCCAAAAAATAAATGTTGCTGGCTTAATCATGCATACTTTTTTGTCTGCTCACAGTTATGGTCAAATTTAGTCCTGCACTGAATTAGTGAATGTTGCTGGACACAATCACAATTCAAGAAACAGTTGCTGTGGATAAGAAACAGTTATGCTCTTTCCTGAAGCCAGGTAACTGGGACAACAGCAGCCCCTATCCCAAACACATGTAAAGGTGTGTGTTTATAAAAGGGAGACAAAGCAAGCACAGAATACACAGCACTTCCACCCACGCAGCTAAGTCAAAAAACATTCAGCTTAAATACTGGTTGAACTGTTGTTTGATTTTTGCTGCCTAGGGAAATAAACGGATTTGTATTGAATGACCACAGCAGTTAGAAGGAGACTGTGCTGCAAACAATTGGCCAAAACCTTCAGTTTTGATTAATGTTGCCACCTTTTAGCCAGCTCAGTTGATTGCTCTGAAAGCCGTGGGTTGGGTTTCAGTCTAGTATGATGTGGCTGTGTACAATAATAGCTCTCTAGGTCTTCAGAAAGCCTCCAATAAAAACAAGAAAGTCAAGACCTTGGTATTTCTAATCATTCTAAAATAAGCAGGAGACCATCTTCACTTGCTGTAGAGAAGCTTTAAAAGGCAGAACATAATTCTGAATACTTTTCAGCTAATGTACTTGTTAATTCCTGTGTCCTGATGCTTAAGTGAGGCTTAATTTTTTGTCTCTTTTCAGTAGTGTTTTCCAGAGTGTTTTGCACATCTTAGCCCTGTGAGGGGAAAATGTGCACTCACTTGAATGATGCACATCTCTACTCGGTACATTGAGCAGTAATATAGCTAATCAAAGGTGCCCAAAAATCAAGAATCAGATCCTGAAATCCTGAGTTTGACTTAAAAAAACCCCTATTTAAATGCATAGTAAAATTAAGGTCCGTTTATTTGCCTGCTGGTTTTTAGCCTTACAGGTCATATTCCGGTTATATTTTCAGGCTTCCACTCATAACCATAGGGGCTGAACACTTCCCTTTATAAAACTGTAATTGAGATATCCATGTAGTCATTGCCTCCAGGTGCCAGAGTGCTGTGCATAACAAGTTCTGAAATAAAAATCATGCAGGTTGACACCATAGAGAATGATCTGATACCTTGCCTCTGTTCTTTATTATTTCTAATGTAAAGTGGCGTTTGATAGGAAAGAAACTACCATCTGCTGTTAGAAATGTTGCTCAGATAGAGGAGATATTATTAATAGCTTTAAAAAAAGGCTTTCTAAATGGAATCTGCTATATCCCACTATCAAGACCTTACACGAGGCAACTAGAAAATTATACTCTCCCTTACTTAAGATCTTGATGCTGGGAGCTGTAATGTTTTTATTTCTGCGTAAAATAGGCACATACTTCTGTGATTTTGCTTGTGTCCCTTATAGCATAAAAAGTGGTGTAAGGGAAGAGAATAATTCTTGTTATTATTATTAAAATATTCTAAATTATATACTGTGTATATTAGTATTCTTTAAGAAAGCTTCATAGCTTCAGTTCCAGCCTATTCCCATTCCTGACTTCCCAGCTTCAATAGAGACAGAGGGAAAACAGATTTTGTGGCCCTCGATGGGGCCACATGGCCCCATGGGTGGAGAATGGTCAGGAACCATCCAGCTTAGACTGTGGATCATAGTGACCATCCTAGGGTAAGCAAAGGATCAACACAGATATTTGACAGATCTTTCCCAAATCTTACTAACCCCTTAAGGCAAGTGGAATGCCATCAGGCTTGTGTGAAACTGTTGTGGACAGAACATCACAGTCAGACATCTCCAAAAATTGCTCTACACAGGTTGTATTTTTGAGACAGAAACCATATTGTTTTGTTCCTTATCCCTGTGTCTTCTGTATACATACAAGATCTCAGTTCAGGTTCCTCATTTGCAAGCAAGCTAATAGAGATAGCAGATTTAATTTTAAATTCTTTCTACATCTTGTTTATGTGTCTTCTGTTGTCATTCTGCTTTCCTCCAACTATGAACAGATGGGGAACTTTCCATACCAAATGAAGAAGGAGCTTTGGAGAATGGGCAGCCTCTGGGCTCCGGGCAAGTGCTGAGCTCCAGCCAGGTATCCCTGCCAGCCCTAGCAGAACTGGAGTCAGGTCCAGCATCTGGGGAACCCTGCTCATATGAGGTGCTCCCAACCACAGAGATCATGGATGGGACAGGTAACATCTTTTTTACATTATGATGTAGATACTCTAAGCTGTTCGGAACAAGTTTTTTGCTTATAACATTTGGTGTCTAGCCCTGAGAAATCCATGTTGAAGACAAAGGTCTTCTGGTGGAGAAGCAGGTGACAGCACACAGGTTGTCACTGGATGCTCCATGAGAAATTTTGACTGACTTGGCATAGAAGTAACCTCCACTTCTACACAAGTAACCTCTTTGTGAGTAAGGCAAAGTCCCTGCAGTTTGTCAGCATTTAAGCGTAGATTTCTAACTCTCTGGCTGCGTCTCAGCTGTGACAATGAGCTCTAGAGCAGAGAGCTGACAACATTTTTAAACCCTAGGGTGCAACGTCATGCTCTTTAGCTGCCGCTTGGTGTTGGGTGACGTTCACGCCATGCATCTTTCAGTAGCTAACACAGCCAGCTGCCCTACCCTAGGTGAGGCTCTCTGCACTTCTTTGCCAGCCCATGCAGAGAGATGGCAACGCTGTACATCCAGGTTAGCTCCTCCTTCTGCATCACTTAATGCTGAGAGTTGTGGACAAAGGTCGAGTGAGGAAAAGTGACTGGTAGAAGTGTTCATCCACGATCCTGCACAGCTGTGCAGCCTCTTTGAAATGGAGTAGGCCCCGTGAGGTGCTTTTACATTTATAGGATAAGTTTAGAGACCACCTGCTAACATATCTGGTCCTGAGCAAGCTGTGGTGACAGACCGTCTGAGATATGACATTTCAAGGCTCTTGATTTGTGTTCAAGATGTGGGAATACGTCCCAGCCTGCCATAAGGGAGCTGGCTTCTGTCAGAGGTAATGGGAAGTTTGGCTGTTGTGTAGATGTGTGTTACTCCTTCTCTTTCTCTTTTTCGCTCTTTCTTTCTCTCCTCCTTTCTATGTTATATGATGTTTGAGTGAAATTTATTAGTCATTCTTAATCTGCATTGCTGCACTGCTTTTCTTGTCTTACTGCGGCCGTATCCGCTGCTGCTTTTCTCGTAACGTTGTTGCGTCTATGATGTGGTTGTGTCCTCCAGTGTCTGAAGAGAGCCCCACATCCAATGAATCCGGCGTCCTCCTGTCCCAAGATCCTACAGCTAAGCCAGTCCTGCTACTTCCCCCCAAAAAATCTGCCGCTTTCCCTGGAGACCATGAGGACACCCCAGTGAAACAGTTGTCCCTCCTCAAACAGCCCCCTGCCCTGCCTCCTAAACCTATTGCCAGGATTGCCAGCCACTTAACTGGTAAGTAGGTGTTCCTGGACCCTCAGCACCACCATTTCCCTTATAGGAAAAACCTGCCCTTACAGCAAGGTTCTCAGTGTCCTTCCTCCTTCTGTAATGCTGTTTGCACATGTTGTTGTGTGTAGTGGTAATGTATCTGTGTTGTACCTAGGGCAGGGATCACGAAGCATTTTCAGGCTGTAACTTCATCAAGGTTGCTTCAGGGCACTTCCCCTCTCAGCTGTGATTACCTAAGGCCACCGCTGCGTTTCCTAACCCTCCTCACTGTTATTCAGCAAGACTTACCATTACAACAAAAATTGCAGGATGTGCTTTGGTGGGAAAGGAAGTATCAGGAAAATACTAGGATATCTTTAAATGCCTTTAATGAGAAAAGAGGTGAGGGCTGAGAGGAAAGGGAGAGTTTTACTTTCTCCTTTTGCCCTTTGTTGCTTCTCACCTCAACTGCCATCTGGGCAGGTCCCCCTGCACACACCCTGTATCTTTCCATGTGTTTGTCTTTTACCTGGCCCCCTGATCCTTACACAGGCCTTTCTGTCCCGTGGCTTCTTGCCATTTTGCTTCCCTGCTCACACTGCCCCCCTAACTGCTCCCCCTTTCCACCCCTGCTCTGACTACTCCCCTCCCACTGCTGAGTCCTGATGATGATAGGCAGCTCCAGTTCCCAGTGACCAGGATTCTGGTGTCCTGCAGTTTACGCTGCAGTTTATCTCTCACTGCCTGGCAGCTAGCAACAGTAGACAATACAGGCTCTTTTTTTGTGTTCCAGATGTTTTCACAGGTGTTGAGGCTCTTGGGGATTCAAAGCTTTAGGTACATGTGGGAGGAGGACTGGTGGGTCTCCTCTCTCCAGTCTCTCATTTAGACCACGGAAGCAAAGGATGGCTACATTTACACAGACCAAAAAAGGTTCCCTAAATGCTTGCCTGCACTTTTTGAACAGCCTGCTCATAATTGCAGCTGCTGCCCAGGAGACAGCACCTCAAAATCCTGAGTTCAAGATTAGGTGTGGCGCATCTCTGTACTGGGGCAGCTACTGGTCTTCACACTGGGTCGATCTTCCTGTGTTAATGCTGCCCTGATCTTTTCAGGGTTGATGTGAGAAATGCTCAGCCCACATTAATACATTCTAGATGTTGGTTTGGGGTTTTTTTCTGTCGGTTAATACTCATTTTATTTGGCTTAATATATATATCAGGAAAGAGCTCATTAGGAGAGAGCATGTCCTGGTTTTCTCTCGTATCTCTACGTAGTCTCTTCATGTTTCTTTTTGGATGACCGCACATTTTTGTTCCGTATAGTTTTGTTCATTCTATGTGAAATCTCTTTACTTTCTTGCCTGCCAAAATCTATACATAATGGTTAATATTTTGCCTTATACTACAAACTGAATGGTCAGTTCTGCAGCCTGCAAAGCCAGGCAGCAGTATTAATGGCTTCAGGTGAGGACAAAATCAGCTTCCTATGATCTCCCATAACACTCTGTCCCAATTACAAGGAGCTGCTCAGAAATGAGACCAACATGGAAGAAATAAAAAAATAGGAATAGCATAGGAAAAACCTCAGGTACTGAATGTCCTTCATTCATACGCCTTTCTTTTGTAAGAGAGCGCAGAAGAATCAAAGAATGAGGGCTTCTGGTGTGGGTTTTTTTGCAGATGGAAATTTTGTGTGAAGTAGAATCAGGCTCAAGCTATAAGTATAAGTCAATTGCTTGATGGTGATGACTTTCCAATGAAAGTGAAACAGAACTGTGACTTCTCTTACTTGGTGGTAGCCTTTAGTGGTTTCTCATCCAGGCCTAAATAAACTCTTGTATGTGCATATAGACAGACTCTTGTACGTGCAAATACAGAACCCTCAGGGAAAAGAAACAGGGATTCAGATTTATTTATTATTCATAGAGCCCTAATTTAATTGACAGTTATTCCTTGTGGAACTGAAAGCCTCATTTATACATACCTTATTAAACTTATTCTTAAGGCTTGGTTTACTTTGGTGGTCTAAAGGATATACATGTTGTTCAGTGCCTTGTGTTCTCCACTGGTAATTATTTCAGCTGTGTATAATCTTTGGAAATGAGCAATCAATCCTAATGAAGCACCCTCATCAGTGAGAAGCAGAATTAATGCTATTCTTTTGCTAATTACTCCAGAGACATCCTCAGCTTGTGTGTGAGAAAACAAGTAAAATCTGAATTCTGGCATTCGAGGTGAAGGCTTTTCTGTTCTGTTCTTGTTGCATACCCATTTTTCTACTGAAGAGTCTGTGAGAAGGTTGAAGGACAAATTAAGACATACTGGGCTTGGCTAATGGAGGGTGACAGTCGTTTAATGGTCTGGTAGCTCTGTTCAAGAAGACTGTGAGGGAAGATGTGATCTTGTGAAGGGTTCAGGTACTCATCTGAAAACACAGAAGTGCCTCTTAACTTCTGTCTTAAGATATATGTATGTATGTGTATGTGTACATATGTATATTTATTTAATAAAAACATGTTTTATACAAATATATATTATAAAATCACTACAGGCACAGTCAGCAGAAAAAAAAAAAAGGAGAAGTATTTTAAATACAAAACTTGAGGAAAGAAGAGCTTCCTTTGAGTCTGACCACCTTCTTGCTGTGAACTTATCCCAAAGTTCTTCAGTAAAGGCATGAAGACTGACTTGCGGAGTTTGGCAAAGGACTTAATACAGGTTTTAGAAATGGAAAAGAAACATTCCTCACCTCTGAAAGCATTTGTGAACCATCTCAAATATCTATCCGCCTGTGCCAAGACAAAGATTGGCCTTTCCCTCGATAAGAAATGCACATAAAAGAGCAGGCCTAAAATAAACATGTAAAAGCACATTTAATTTTGGGGAGAATGAAAAGAAAAAAATCCATTTTAAAGGTGACAGGAAGAGAGAATTGCCTCTAGCAAATAGAAATCACACAACCTTGGCATGCTTCTTCTCAGGGCTGAGGTACTGTGGGGACAGGACAGTGCAGGAATGGGGACAGAGCGAAGAGCAGACTGCAGAGCAGCCACTGGGAGTGGTGCCACCGCCACTGCAGAAGATGCTCCATGCTTTGCCTCACGCCATTTCCCATGCTCTTGATGATGCTGCCTCCACAGGGAACGTCCCTATCACAGCACTGGGTGTGGAAGTGCCCGTGCAGCCCTACAAGACAGGCAACCCTAGGAGAAAAACATGATTCTTAACTGTTTTGATACTGTTGTTTCACTGCTCTGCATTTGCTGTTGGCCAGTCATCTCCTGATGAGCCTTTACTAGTTTTCAGATGTGATTATTATTAGACAATGTTCATGGACAGAATTTCTTTCATCATTTTAATTCACCAATATCCGCATGCAGAACCCAGCCATTCAGAACAACACATGCAGCCCCTTTGTTGAAAATGTAGGAGGAGCTGAAATAATCACCTGGGACCAAATTTAATTGGACTGCTGGGGTAAAGTCCCCAGATTATCATAAAATCTTTAATGGCCAAAAGTGACAAGAAGACTGGTCATATCTGATTTGATACACAACATACCCCCGTAGTGTAAAGCTCCTTTTGATCTTGATTCATTAAGCTGTTACTTCTCACCAGCACAGATGTTTTCTGAAATTAATTAGATATTTTCCATTCAAACAACTGAATCACCAGTAACCCATAAAGTCCCCTAAAACATCAGAGAACAAAATATATGCCACTAAGTTGGGATCTTAGCAACACCTGTGTGTATGTGAGCCCAAATTTAGCCTAATATTACAGTAGGGTGTAGCCTGAGTCATATCTGGCCACTCAGCTATTGTATTTAAGCTCTGAAAAACCTTTTGCATTCTCTTGCGTTCTTCATTCAAGATTTTGAGGAGAGGCATAGCACATTTTTAGTTCTGAGATTGTGCTTTCCAGTTATGTCTCTGTAGAGTAAAAACTAATTCATAATTAGAGGCAAACACTTAACAGTGTAGGAAATATTACAAGTCCCCAAAAGTTGCTTCTGATAATGCAGACAAGCCAAGGATGAGGTTTGAGAACATGGATGCCTGGTGTCCTGCTGCCGCACTGACACAACACAGCTGGTTGTTAGTTACAGCATTATAAAAGTATTTGCAGCTACAATTTATCCAATAAATATTCTCTGCAGTATTTTATACTGCAACAGTCACATGTGTCTCAGAAGGCTCCTCTGTAGATGAGCCCAAGACGTTATCCACAAGCTTCCTCCTCTGTGATGTTACCTCCTGCTGCCTGCTCTGGCAGGCTACATTCATGAAGACAGGTTACATTCATGTGGGGGCAATGGACAATTCTCTTTTCACTGTGTGCTTGAGGGAGGAGCAGCAGAGCAAAAGCAGCTCTCCTTCAGCAGCACTCCCAGGCTCTCATGGGAAACTGGACCCTGATGCAGTTGCTCTCGCCACACTTCCTCTGCCTGCGGCTACCTGGAGTGGAGTACCAAGCGCATACAGGCAGCAGGAAATCTTCCCGTCTTTGAAACCCTGTTCAGGGCTTTGCAGGGAAATTCATGCAGAGCTGTACTTTTCAACCTTTAGGCTAAGCATGCTTTGCTTGTGTTCTCCAAATTCAACTTGAACCTTGGATGCAGACATGGTGCAGAAGAACAGCAAAGAATTTCAGTCTGAAATCTTCCCTGAAGACATGGCTGCAGATCTTGCTATAGTCAGCAGGAGATACATGGCAGATCTTTCAGAACAGTTTTTAACTCATCTTTATGAATCTGCTCAAAAAACTCATTGAAAGAAGAAAAGAGACTCCCACTGTTAAGACACAAGTGATTCCTGGAGAGAAGAGCTGAAAAAGTGAAAGCTACTTGTCCAAATGCTACCAGCAAGTATCAGGCACATCACCTCATTTCCACTATGGAGCTCCCTCAACAGGCCACGCTGGTTTTTGCAAGAGTTTTTTTGCACATTGCAGAATTAATTACTTGGATGGAATTTAAAGAGTAACTCGTTAACTTTATGATGAGTTGTATTACTTGTAGTTGTATATAGTACAGCAGAGGTCATACTATAAGGTCATTCAGGTGAGAAGGAATCTCAGCAAGCTAGTCCAACCTCCTGCTCAAAGCAGGGCCAGCTATGAGATCAGACCAGGTTGCTCAGGGCTTTGTCCAGCTGGGTCTTGAAAATCTCAGAGGATTTTCTCAAGTGCACAGCCTCTCTGGGCAAACCTTTTCCACTGTTTGGTTCTTCTCATGGGGGAAAATGTTTTCCGGTTAGTCCCGTCCAGGACCTCTCTTGTTTCCTCCTCCCACCATGCACAACTGTGAAGAGCCTGGCTCCACCTTGATAACCTCCTCATAGGTACCGGAGGGCTGCTGTTAGGTTCCCCCCAACAAGCTCTCTTTTCTCCAAGCTGAACAAGCCCTGGTCCCTCAGCTTCTCCTCACAGGTTAGCTGTTCCAACTCTCAACCATCGTGGTGGCCTTCTGCTCTAGGTTTTTGATGTCTTTCATGGGAGGCCCAAAGCTTGATGCAGTAATGCAGATACAGTCAAAGGAGTGCTGAATAGAAGGGGAATAATCCCTTGATCTCCTGGCTGTGCTTCTGCTCATACAACCCAGGAGGCTGTTGGCCTTCCTTGCTGTCAGGGTACAATGCTGGCTCCTGTTCGGCGTCACAAGGAGTCAAGAAAGAACTTTTTTCCCACTGGCAGGATAGCAACCATAGCCAGCTCTGCCATGAGCCCAGGATTCCCAGGCATGCCTTCTTGCTCCGTGCAGTAGGTGTGCTGGGGGAGGATTTGAGGATTTTCTATCAGCCCTGCTGGAGCAGTATTTGCTGCCATACATCCAGAACTTCCTAGCGCTCTATCTGCAGCAGCTATGTCTGCAACCTGTGCTGACCAACTCTCCAGCCATGTTCAGTGGCTGGGGAGCATCAGATTTGGTATAGTTAGTGTACAGCTTCAGCGTACCACAAACACATCAAAAGAACTATACATGGGCAGACCTTCTGTGCTGCAAATAAAAGTATATCTATCTATCTCCTGAAAAACCCAAGAGGAAATGCAGCAACTATATGTATTAGCAAAATGACCTATATGGAGGGGGTAAGGGCTGACCTGTTTGTCAGAGGTCTGATGAGCACCAAATATTGTGGCATCCACAACTATCTTTTAAGTAATTTATTGTCATCAGCAGTGGGAAGGTTTCTATGTCTAACGTCTCTTTCATCAATTCTGGCACAGTTATTACTTAACCATGCACAGTGCTGAGTGGTCACAACCCTGCTGGGAACCAACATCGTGCAAAATTGCTCATTATTCTCTTGAGCATGAAGAACCTCAGCCAAAAGAGATGAATCAGACTTGCACACCTGGCTTCACAGAGTTTGCTTCTCTTCTGTCACATGAGTGCGTTGTGCAATGATTTAAAGCTCTGATAATGTTCCACTGCGAAAACACTTACCACAGATTCCTTGTTCATATTGCCACTGTCCAGCTTCTTATTCATCTACAGATGTCCATGTCTGATGGATATTCCATGCTGGAGACAATAACTGTTTCCACCCCTGTTTCATACATCATATACATTGTGAAATTAAAACAGAGGAAAGAAAAATGCAGTCATCTCACTCTTACACAAAGGGACAAGTTGTTCTCTCGTTTACTCCAGATGATGGTAGCACAGTTTCCAACAGTGTGCCTGAGCATTTGAGCAAGGCCCCATTTGTTCAGCACACTCATTGATCTGACCATGCAGTAAAACTTGCAGTACAAGGTCTCCGTTACGGATGTTTGTGAAGGTATACTGATATGCTTCCAAGTGAATGGATCAAACTCTCCTCCCATTGCAGTCATTCTCCTTTTAACCTTTTTTTTTTTTAACAGACAAGTAGAAGTCTCCCAAAGGTGAAGGGCAGACAAGTAGATTTAATGCCTCTAGTTCATTTTCAAGGCTCTATTCAGGTATTAGGGCCATATTCAGACAGGCTCAAGAACTTGGGTGAAACACAGTCGGTCTGAATAAAGCCTAACGTTAAAAATCATGGACAAGATTTTTGGCAGGTGCCCAGTGGAGCACTGATACCACTGAAAATATGTTGATGTGAAGGATATCTTTAAGTGGAAACTAAAGGTCCATACCTTTGTTGTGAAGAGTGGAAACCAGAGTATGCACATCTGATGCATGGTGGAGTAGGTGGTTACTCGGGATAATTAAGCTAGACTTGTTCTCCCATGCAACTCCAAAGCTGCAATGCCTCTGTCACAACTCTACTAGATGAATGCTTGCATGAGAAAGGAAAATAAATTTTCACTGTATTTTAGAAGAAAGATGGAAGGATTCCTATTTGCTTTATACCTGAACCATTTGGCATGTTCTACTCACTCCCAACATACAATGTTGCTCTAATCTTCAAGATCACAGAAGGCAGCAAACCCAGTTGATACTTCCAGTTATTCTTTTGTCAGAAGTAAGAGATGCCTGCAGCTGGGATCCCTTTGAATTCACCATTAAGGGTGACTCCCCTGCATCATACGCAGAGTGGTGGGGCATCCAGGCACAGGCACTGTCAGAGGAAGGTCTTAACTGAGATACAGCAGGAGAGGTTCTAAAACCAACAGTCAACCTGCACTTTTCAAAATGGAAGTGCAGATCTCAGTGTAGTCTTTGTAATTCAGGACCAGCTCTAGAAGTGCAATTGCCTGGAGCACAAATGTATGAAAACACTTTGTTACTACAAATCCCATAGGGGCCTTATTCTCAGGGCTCTATACAATTTACTCTTCACTCTTTCTGTTACTTATCTTTTATTGAAGATGGTGTGTTCTTTTGTGTGGGATACAAAGAAGAAATATACACAGATGAAGTGTATGTAAGAAAAACACAGTAACTTGGAGACCTTCCTGTGCTTGAATAGAAGATCCTGAAAGTATTTTTTTTTCTACTGTACAGAAGGCAATCTGCTTTAGAGGAGAGGGCAGTGCTGTGTGGTTTGGCAACCCCATGAGTTAGATTTCAGCCTTGGTGGAGCCATCAGAAGAATTTTTGCCTTCAAGAGGTGTCAAGTGGATATGATATTGCATTGAAAGCTGAAAGACTTGAGTTGTTCTCTCTCTAACTCTCCCACTCGCAACGTGGAAAGACCACTTTCTCTCTATGCCTCTATTTCATCTTTGCACAGCCTTTGCCTCTCCTGTGTCTTTAGCCTATAAGCCCTTTAAAGAAAGGGAAGACTTGCTGTCAGTGTGTTGCTCCTAGCATAGTAAAAACACTAATATCAAGTGGATACTGTGGATGCAATGAAACTACGACTAGCACTAGAAAAAGTCTAATCATATCTGAGCTTGGCTCCATGCATGGTCTTTTTCCACATTACTGTCCTTAATCATTTTCAAGAAGTGTTAGTGCTTGGAAGTCCTAGTATCGGCCTTGTGCACCCTGGCCAGTAGATATGGATACTAATACAGGCAATATCCAGAATAGGCCAGGAGGGAGGAAGGAATAAAGGGGGCAAGGAGAAGGATAGTTAACGCTAAAACGAACCATCTGGAAAAGGACTTTAGAAGGATATCGCTCAGGAGGGTGATGACCTTTGAAACCTGGAGGGCAACATCTTACTCCCAGGCTTTCTTAGGTCGAAAGAAGATTCGAGCCCTTCAGTCCCATGATCATATTACACCAAGAAGAGTGAACTGAAGCAACAAGAGGCCAGAGACCATGCAAGCCTTGCCCGCAGAGCCAAATGTCTGTAGTATTCCAGGCTGGAAAGGGCCTGGCCTTCCTCCTAAACACAAAGGCATAGTTGCAGCTCACAGTGTATGTATTTGCTCTCATTTTTGCTCTTAGCATACATGGTGGTCATTTCTCACACCCATCTTGGGAACTACAAGCCCTCCCGTTAACTTCTTTTCCCTTCTGAAAACTTTCCACAGTGCAACTCCAGAAATCTCCATCCTGCAGTTGACTCCTGGCAGAGAGATTTGCTTGTGGACCTTTCATTGATTTCCCATGGAAGTCAGGGGAGTCTTTGCCTGGCAGGTCAACTGTGCGGTTCAAGGAGCACGCCTAGTGTTAAAAAGGTTAAAATTCACTGGATGAGTCCAGAGAAAAGTGCCTGCCAAGTCTTCTGTAAAAGAATACATTAATTCTAACAATCTTCTGCCCTTTATAATTTTCTCCTCCTGTCCCCTTCATTTTTCCCAACCACTCCTGTTTAGTATTCAAACCCTGTTTCTTTTCTCTCTTGCCCTGTAATGTAATTTTTAACACCAGATGTTTTGCACATTACAAAGCTGTAAGAAATGTGACTTGTAGTAATTGCACTGTAGTGGCTGAGAAGGATCAGGAGTCCCTGAGCTTTTGCTCCAGCAGTGATGGTGGTGAGTCGTCCTGTAACTTCAGACACCGAATTGCTCGCCCCCTATTTGCGTGCCTGTTGAGCGGTAGACATCGCGCTTACCTGGCAGGGCTGTTTTGCAGGATTAGAGCTTTAAAGCATCAAAGTGTGCCACGAGCCTTGTTAAGCATTGCTTAATGTGTTTATTAAGGGGCATGCACAGCCCTGTGATGTTTTTTATGAGATTTGGAAGTGCTGCAAAACAACAGTATTTTTTCTGAAGACTGTGCTGAGTGCACACTATGCAGAGGTGTCTGTCACAGCAGGGAAGGGGTGCACACTCCCATGTTGACTAGCAATCTCAGTACCTGCTCACCCAGGCAGATACTCTGATCTCCATTGTACTGACATGAACATTAACATTAACACCAGGGCCTCTCTTCTTTCTGTTTTAGATCCTGGCGCTCCTGTGAAACTGCCTTGTATGCCAGTTAAACTGTCACCTCCACTACCTCCAAAGAAAGTCATGATTTGCATGCCTTTAGGGGGGCCAGACCTCTCTCTCTCATCGTATTCCACGCAGAAGAGCTCCCAGCAGCCTTTGACCCAGCACCATCACACTGTCCTGCCATCCCAGCTAGCAGCTCACCAGCACCAGCTCCAGTACAGCAGCCACAGCCAGCACCTGCCTTCTGGGTCCAGCACGTTGCCCATTCACCCTTCAGGGTGCCGGATGATAGAGGAACTGAACAAAACGCTAGCCATGACCATGCAAAGGCTAGAAAGGTAATGGATCAACTTTTAAAACTACATATTGATGTGCACTGTTTCCTGCTAACCTCAGTATCGATATCACCACTTGAGTTATGTTGATAGTACTTGAATGAGGCCTCTCCCCTGGGGGGGTCTAACAACTTCAGGGCAGTCGTTGCTGAAGAAACAGAGATAGGGAAAAAGCCTTTACAGGCTTGTTTGACAAGTTTGTGGCAGAAAGGAGAAAAAGACCAAATTTCCTGAACCCCGTTGTCCTGTTCAAGGAGCTAGATAATACAGCCAGGGGAGAAGACGTTAATAGGACATGCCTGGCTTGCAGTATATACTGCAGAGTGCATAACTGCAAAGCTCTGGTTACGTGGAGGATTGCCAAAAAAAAAAAAAAGGAGAGGAAGTGAAAGGTTCAAAAAACAGCAATAAAAACCAAATGTGCCACTCAAACCAGGCCATCTGATTAGTATTACCAATTAGCTTGAAACAACCTATGAGGACTTCCTACAAGTCACTCAGAGGGGTTTTAATATACTATTTCAATTAATTTAAATTGAATTATATGTTTGATCTTAAAATAAATATTTAAGACATTCCACAGCAGTTACCTTCTTAGCCATTTGCATCTGGAGGAAGGTTGTATATTTGATCAGAAGAGTCTTACCCACCTTGGGGCCATTTTCTATTACTGTCACTTGTGGGTATGTCTGAACACTGCTTCAAATAGTCTCAGTAAGTGACGCATGTTGTGTAAAGGCAAGCTGTCCTCATAGACTGCAAGACCAGCAAACTTCAGAAAATTTATTTCATCTTGTAGAGGAGAATGGAGCAAGTCCCAGAATAGGGAAGGTAGTCCAAAAAATGACATGTTCTATTTAGTACCAAGGGCAGCTTTGTAGCCGGCTTGTTCTAGGAGCATCAGATCATCCTTCTCTTAGACAGGGAGTGAAAATATTTGGTCTAACAGACAAAATGCCTAATGATTTGCCCCAGTACCTCTTTGTGATAATGTTACCTTCATTATAGCGCATAGTTAAAAAGAATTCAATTAGGGATGGCAGGTTCTCCTTACTGCATGAAAAACAGTCAGGGGACCAGAGGCTGTCCCACACTGCCAGCTTATTTTAGTACCAGGATAGCGAGACCTCTGTGGTTATATTGGGGGGCTGATGTTTCTGCGGCGCGGGGGAAATCTCTGCTGGGGGAAAACTGTTAGGGCTGTGAGGGAGGTTCCTCTTCCCATCAGTAAAAGGGCTGTAGTGGTAGGATTGGAAAAAGCATCCACATTCCCCCTTGTGCCCAGTGGCTGCCCAGTTACCTCTCACATTGCCGGCAGGGCTGGTCAGATGCATCTGCATCACCCTAAAGCTTGGTGCACTGAGTGCAGAGGGTAGCTGGTGTCTCCCAAAGTCTCCCTTGGGGCTGCACTGCCCACGTCGTCCCCAGCGTAGGTCGCATGTCTTACTGTCTGGCTCACACTGCATGCAGAAGGCACTTTGTGATCCTGAGCCCAGTGACACCTCTCAGAGTATGACTTCATTGTGACATCTGTTGCCCCACAGCAATGAATGCTCCAATTTCTAGGTATCTATCACGTTTATGCCTACATATACATTTAACTGATTTAAAGAAGGTGATGCTGTTTGGTTTGAACTGTTAATTTGAAGCTGAAGCTCTGCTGCTTGTTAAAAGCTGAATAAGCAAGGATTCACTTCACAATATGAAGCAATTGCCTCCCCTTGTAGAAGAAAATAAGAAAAGGTTGTGGCACTGATATCTTATATTTTAAATGGAAATGAATCCTAGTTCATGATATTGCAGACAGTTGTTTTTTCATAGCTTTTTTGTGTTAATGAACTATTATTTCAATCATGAAATAAAGTATTGAATACTTCAGTTATTCTCGTCAAAACAAATCAATAAAGTTTGCATTCACAAGAGAGAAAATAGGTGATGATTGTTTCCTCTGCAACAGAGATTGTTATTTTCATAGTATTTACAAGTAAAAGGGTCTGTGGAGCTGACACTTGCTGTTAAATTCTTAAATTGCTTTTTCATGCCTCATTGTGATCTTAGTAGATTTGCTAACTTTTCCTCAAAATTTGTGCAGATTTTTAAAATATATATTTTTAACTTGGGAGAGGATTATTTGCACCAAATGCTGCTGTTTTCTAGCATTTTTGACTGTAGTTCTTTTCCCATAATTGTATAAAATATGGATTAAACCCAGCAGAAATCATTCCGCAGCATTTGTCGTTGGACACTTCAGCCCAGAAGTCTTGAAGGCTTTTTAAAACTGCACAGATCCTAGATCTGCTTTCCTCTATTTAAAATTTAGTAGTGTGCTCACATGTGTTGCATGCATAGGATATGCAGTGAGATCCTGAGCTTTCCTGTTCCTTCCAGGATAACTTGCTACTCAGTCACTGTTGTTGGGTCAATAATTTTCAGGAGACGAGAGAGCCTGACAAGTCTCTCAGGCACCTTCTGGGGAATGCTAAGTTCATTGGCAGCATTTATTTTTGCTGATCTCAGTCTTTATCTTGGAAGAATCCTACAACATTATAGAATAATTGCCATGATGCTGCAGTAATAGTGCTGGCAAGTCTGGTAATTTGGAGGATTATTTAGAGTAGTATTTTGTTTTTAATAGGGGAGGATCATGTCGACAAGTGCAGATCAATATTCTGCTCTAAATTTTGTCTTTTTTTCCCTTTAGGAGAATTTTTTTTTTCTTCCCTGTGTCTAGTTTCTTTGCTCCTAGTGCAGTGGAAGCTCCTCAAGTCTGTTAAACTCCATTGATAGTCACTGAGTCCATAACCAGTTTCTATCAATTCCACATTTTGCCCAGTAAACTTTTCTTAGACCTCACAATTCTTCTCTCCACCAGGACTGTGAGTGTGGACAGGAACAAACAATGAAAGACTAGAACATCCCCTTCCTCTAGCAGTCTGGATTTTTTGCTTTCACAGATGAGGTCTCTGGAATTCAGATAGTCTAACAACATCTGAAGACCGATAGTTAAAATCAGTGCTTTGCCAATGAGCCAGAAGCTCGCCAGAGAAAAATGAGCTGTCCCTCTGTACTGGCCTGGAAGCCAGAAGTTATTTTGCTGTCTTTGACCTTGAGAAAGCTACTGAGCTTCTCTACCTCTGTTTTCCCCTCTGCAGGAGTGGTTGCATGTTACTGCCTCACCTAGGCCTAGTGCCTATTCAAGTCCCAGTTATTCTTATGACTTATAAATGGCAGTTAATTCCTGGATTTTTTTATTCAGTTTTACTACAGACATTATAGAGCATTAAGTTCATTTGCATACTTAACGCTTTTGATTGCAAACATTTTCTGGTAGTCGTAACATCTATTCATAACCTATTCTCAGAAGGGCAATCTGTCCCTTGTCATAGTATGACTATTATGACATGTCATTTGTTCTGCCAGGTTGCTTCTATTTTCCCTCATAAATTACCAGCTTTATGATAGATCAAGTTGAAACAGAGAAGAGTGTAATTTCCACATAACCTTTTTTCTACAACCTCTGTTGCCGCTTTGTGCCCTACTTCAAACGACTTTCCCCTACAGCCCAAAGGGTATGTGTCAAGTATAAGTAAACCTCTAGATTCAGGCATCATTCTTGACCATTTCAGAATGCATTTTAAGAGTTGATGAAAATCTGATAAGCTCTGCCACCAAAATCCACAGAAGGTTTCTTGCTCCTGACTGAAATGAATTTGAGAAGGACTATGCCCAAAAGCTGCATGTCACTATCAGCAGCAAAAGAAGCTGGAGAAACCCTCTTGTGCCACTGGAATATATCTTAAATTTTGACTTGGGGAGGCAGCTTCTTAATCTGAAATAGCCCTATTTTCTGCCTTGCCCATATAGTTCTCAGTCTGTCTGGTAAGATGACAATTAATTTCAATTACTCTGTGGGCTCTTGCACACTAGCAGCTGAATCAAGGCCTCAGTTTGTTCAATGGATGTACTAAAGAGCTGTTAAGTGGCAATATCTCACTCCAAGCTAGAATTGCATCTGTGGCAGAGCAGTGAAGAATCTCTGTGTCCAAAAAGACAGTGAGACCAGTTCCTCTGGGACACCCGGTTCAGCTTCAGAGTGTAGATTTATGAAAAGAAATGCATTAGACATTCCTGCCAGTGTCTTGTAAATCTTATAAAACGTATTTGAGTCAGAAAACATTTATCTTCCATAAAACTTGTCAAGAGAATTGCTTTTTGTCTAAACTTTAGCATTGCCTAAGGATAGAAACACTTAATATTTATAGCTCTGCCTTCTCTCTCTGTCTCTTACACATATGCCTGTATTGTAGAAACGTATATACAGTGGTTTGAAGTTTTTTCGGATTTTTGTTTTAACTGCTAAGTACAGAAGAGTGTACTGTTGATCTGAAAACATGCTGATAAAAATGTAATTCTTTATTCCAAAATCAAAGAGCCTGGGATGACAGATGAGAAGCGTGCAGTTTTTTCCCACTAGATTTTACAGGAGGGATTCCACTTTTTTCTTTTTTGATTTTGTCTTTGCCATGAGTCACTCATATGCTTCTGGTATTTCATTAAAATATTTTCTCACTAGAAACATTGTAAGCTATAGTGGTGTAACTTTTTTGCTGTTTTGATCACATAAAGATGATGCAACAGTAATTGCAAGTGCTTGTACTAGGCAGCTATGAATTATTCAAATCTATGTGTTAAGATATATTTATCTTCTTAAAACAAGTACTTGCTTAGCTGTAGCTTTGTTCTTTAATTTTGTTGCAAAACATGAAGCTGATTTAAAATGGACTGTTTGAAACAGTAGTGTGCTTTTTGGTAAATAATGCTAAAAAAATTTGTGGTGTAGACCACCTGACCTTGTGGGGTTTTTGCTAATGACCCAGAGGAATTTATACACAATGGAAATATCCAGTGACCTTGATTCGTCTTTCTTAAGTAAACTGCAGTACCACATGTATTTCATAAGCGCTTTGCTTAGACAGCTGACTTAGTCAAAATGCTGTGGAAAAAGCTGATTTTAATCAAGAAGAACACAGAAGACCAGGAAAAATGAGGGGCTTAAAATAGAAAGTAGTATTATCAAGAAAGTGGATGATTCAGAAAAATTACAATGAGATGAGAAGCCGCCTATTTCTAGATCACTAGTTCAAATAAAGATCCTCTGTGGTAATTTGTAAATCTTGTTGCCATCCGATACCTGCTTCATAACCTAAATTGGTGAAGCATTTTGGTATCTGCTACCCTATGTGCGCACCCATAAGGATGCATCTGTAGCCTACATACATCCTTCACAGAACAGGGAAGGACCAAATGGTCCTGGATGCGGAACTACTTTCTGCTCCTTTCATTTGTACTTCCAGAAGGGGCTTAGTGAACTTGTACTTGCTCTCTGTGTATGTATTGTTTTAAAACTAACTGAATGATCCAGTGGTTCTGTTCACCATTGGAAGTTTTTAATTTCTTTTTTTTTTTTAGCAATGTTAATGGAATTTCACAGCAGTTTAATTTCTCTTGGAAATTTAATTCCAGGCTTTTGAATTTCCTACCTTTCCTCTTAAAAAGAGTTACACAAAAAGTAGGTTACAGAGAAAACAGATTTTAAAAATGAAGTTCCTAAAATCAAAATTATTAAAGCATATCAATAAATTAAAAGTTAGTTGAAAGTTTTGAAAGACTGTAGTGCATTTATGTGTCATTAGGAGAATTCAGCTGATGAACTTTAAAACTACTTCTGGGATAAAATTTTTTGGGTCAAACTCACTGAAGTCTAATACAAAAACTCACAAGCCAGTTTTTCATGAATCTGTCTTACTTTGTGGTACAAAACATAGACCAGCACTAAGAAAATGGAGTTCCTCTCTTCAAGACATCCAGTAAAGCTATGGATCTCATTGTTGGTTAGTCTGCAACGGTAAATGTTGCAATTAACAAAATTATAACAACAGCATGGTATGGTTTGCTCACAGGATCTGAAGCCTTTTCTTCTCCTTAATCCCTAAGCACATTGTGGACTATCATTATATATCCAGAAGTACCTTTTAAAAAGTCTTTCTGGAATGTTATCTGGCAGCCATTTAAGAGTCCACGTTAACTTTAGGGTTAGAAGAAAGAGAAATGTTTCAAGTTGACTCAGTAGAAAATCATTTAAAGAGAAGAATACAACAGTTTGTCGAGATGCAGAATGCCTCTGGTATTCTGAGCAGGCTGAAATATTCAAGGGAATTGAGGCTACTCAGCACTCGATAACAGCCAGACCCGAATTTGTGTGCCTCAAGTGCAACTTAGCCAGCACATCTGGTTTCACACCTATGTTCTTCTGTAAAGTAAGATGGGAGTTTGACATAAAGAGGGTGTCCAACAGGCAAACGTTCCCCACCTTTCATATAGCTGTTGCCTCCGCTGGGACTTAAGACAGAGGGCAGTTTCTGCTGACTCACAAATAAACCTGAGCAGCCATCGATTTTGCCTGCCAGTCTCTCATTCTCATTTCACATTGGAAAAGCAACATGAGCTATTAGATAAAAACGGGTCAGGAAACCTGGTTCTGTTCCTGACATTTCCATTCACTTTTTGTTTGACTTTGATCCACACCTCCTCATGTTCCTGTTTCCCTCCTCGTATTGATGTGTTCCTTGGTAAAGGGCTTTGAAATCAACACATAAACAGAGCTAGATGGTAGCAGTACTGACCACAGGTCTTAACCTAGTAAGCTGCAGGAAATGATCAGTCACACTTTATGTGACAAAAGAAATATGATGTTGGCTCCAATTCAGATTGATCTCCAGCACCTGGCTGGAGTGAGGAGCCAGGGCAGGAGAAGGGATGTTGTCCCTGCAGCCCCCACAACATATCACCGTGCCATTAGCAAACAAACCTCTCAGGTTTTAGCTCCCTCCCTTGTTACTCTCACCAGCTCCCAAAGTCTCTTTTCTCCAAGCCCGGTTTCACATGCTCGGTCCCGTGTGCTTCAGAGGGTTGTGCCCTTGCCTTCCCCTCAAGTCAATCAACATACTCTTGCCCAAGGAGTGCAAGTCATGGTTTCCCTCTGCCTTTCCCTCTATGCCTTTCCTTCCTCCCACTCTCTTACTCCACCTTTTGCATTCAGGTGAGACATTTTCTCCTTACTGCCTGCATGCCAGTGGAGAGGTCACACAGACACTAGGCTGAAGACATGCTTATCATTGAGTAGCTAGTGCAATTCTCACTAAGCCTTGTGACTGTTTGCCACAGATCTTTAGTTCTCAGTCCTCGCTGCCAGTATCTCTGCCTGCGTGCTGTCCTAAGTCTCCCTAACAAGTGTGGTACCTTAAATCTAATGTGTACTCAGTTTAAACCCATTAGATGTCTTGCTGGTTGTGAAAGTATTTCTGTCCTCATTTCTTCTCAAAAAGGGATGAAAGACTACTACTTTCCTAAATACAGTGAGAGAAGCAACTCAGTCTTCCATTGAGCTGTTTCCTTTAGTTTATTTATTTGTTTTTCTTTCCCAACAGCTCTGGTTTACACACAGGTGACAGTGTTACTAAAACAGGACCTGGGGGCCTTCCAGACATGAGACAAGTGCCAACTGTTGTGATCGAATGCGATGACAATAAAGAAAATGTGCCTCATGAAACTGACTATGAAGATTCTTCCTGCCTCTACACAAGACAGGAAGAGGAGGAAGAGGAAGATGAAGATGAGGATAACTCATTATTTACAAGTAAGACTAAGCCGATCTTTCCTTTCTCATTTATTTAATTTTTACTCTGAATTCTCAATACACAAGGGAAACAAGGCCTGTGAATTTTCTTTCTTGACCATGGCTTTTGCATCTCTCAGGGCTTGACTATGTGGGGATGCTTGGTAAATTAATCCAAAATAACAAGTAGTATGAATTTACAGTGATTTCCCTAATCCATGAATCCCTGTCTGGGTAGCTCTCGGACAGAATTCAAATGACTGGTTTTGGTTTATATTATTTCACTTCCAGATTGACTTTTGGATTCACTTTCCCAAGTGTGTGGAAGCCCTGCCTTTGGCTTAAGTCAAGATCAGCTTGAGTTACTTCAGGAGGATGAATTAAGTGCCACCGATAGAGAATCAGAGCTTTTATATACAGTAAACATTAAATCATGTCAGAATCGTAGGTCTGCACATGCTTTGAAAGGGGTCACAATCACAGAATTGGGCTCAGATAAGAAGAGAAGAGGTTAATTGATAGCCATATCGCAGTTACAGTCTGGAGAGAGACCTGTGGCCCCTTCCTGACCTCTCTGAGAAAACCCATCTCCTCTGAGAAAACCCATCTCCTGCCTTGGTGTGGCATCATAGGACTCTCCCATGAAGACAAGATACAGTACTTTGTGTATGACAACTGCTTGTCATCCTGCAGGTCAAGCTGAAGTTTCAGGCCCTTGGATTTCTTTTCTTCTGAAAACTAGGAGCAGTACAAACAAACTACACCCTTTTTAAAATATGCACAAAGACGATTCTAAATAAGGCATATTTCATCTCCTCAGAATCCTCCCTTACCCTGCAAGTGAAATTAAGCAGTCTTTGCTCTTAAATTAAGAAGCAGAACTGCACTATCTTACACTCTCCTGCCAAAGCCCAAAACCTCTCATGAGTTTGTGCCTCTGTCTGTTTGTGTCTGTCTTCCCTGCTCAAACTGCTTTGGATGCAAGCCTAGGAAAGCAAGCTTGAGCTGTGAAAGGCCACTGGTTTTCACAGTCTCTTTGCCACTCTCACTGCCTGAGAAGCAGTGTCAGTTAATATACATAGAGATCTGTGCTGCTGATGATTGACTTTTGATTCCTTCCAGTGCTAGCTTGGATGCCTTTATACTACATTGCAAGAGAGAGAGACCTCTCTCTTTCCACATGCTGTAGCTCTGCTGCCTGCCCAGATTCTAAGGTTGAATTATTCATTCCATTACGTGGTTCAGAAACACTGTACTACAGAAAGCTACAGATGCTACTAGCAATTCTGAAACAAGCCTTTCTCCTCCATTCCCCTCTATGGAGCAATATTTTAACGTCTTTTTCCTGTATGCCTACCAAATTCAGCTTTTCCTTACTATGATATGAATAGAGGTTAACTGAGCACGTGAAGTTAATTGACACCCCTTTACCCCAGTCCATACCGATGTAAATGAGAGCCTAGTATCCTCCCTTGGCTAGTACTCCTTTGCCTGCTGCATGCTGTAATGAAATGATGACACCTCCTTTGGCAGAGCCTCTCCTCTCTCCCACAGGCTCCCTGGCAATGAAAGTCTGCAGGAAGGACTCTTTAGCAATCAAACTAAGCAACAGGCCTTCCAAGCGAGAGCTGGAGGAAAAGAACATCCTCCCCATGCAGACTGATGAAGAGAGGCTCGAACTTAGGCAGCAGATTGGGACAAAGTTAACAAGGTAGGGAGACAAACATTTTTCTAACTCTTGCTTTTGGAAGTGTGTGGTGGGATGCAGTTTTTACCCTTAGTCTGTAAACATTTGAGGTCTGTTTGTTCACAATGTTCAAGAGGAAAAGCCATGGGGGAAAAATAAGACTAGACATTATTTCTGCTCCAATATAACTTCCCATACAACGCCCCATTTCATTTTCTTGGCATATCCTATGGGATCTTTGGTTGTGTTAAGTGTCAGCATGAACTATGTGGATTTGGTTGCTTTCGGTGCACCATTGGGAAATATTCAGCTTTGATGACATTTTGGACTGTAGCTGCAGGTGCCATTTGATAGGCCAAAGTCTGACCAAAGGGCAGAGGTATAATGTTCTCTTCTGACTGCATCTCCCATGAGTAGCTGAGTCTTTTCCTGATCCAAAATACTTAAGTCCTTCAGTACCTGCTTTTGTTGGGTCAGGTTGGACATACTTACCCTGTCTAGACTCTGGCTCCTTTATAACAGTGTTACTCACGAGCTGTTTGGGTTTTCTGTGTGACATGGGGTATAGAGGGGTGGCCATTAAATGTGGAAGACTTCTGTCAAGAATTAGTAAACTGAAGTCAGGTAGAAATGTTGAAGAACCTCCTATGCTCCAGCCATGATTTCTGTAATAAATTTAATACTGTTATCAGCTTGGTGGTATGCAGAGCTGGTGAATGCTGTTAGTTGCCCTCCAGTGTGACACTGAGAAAACCACAAGGAGAAGGCCAGCCGGTTGTTGGGAATTTTCTTGTGGGTTTTCTTTTTCACTTTTTTCGTTGGTGGGGGGATAAGGGGGGAACACTGCTACCATGTTGTGGAGACAGGAAGAATAGGAGCTCCTGGTAAATACCTCTTTCAGCATTTTATCTACTTTTTTTTCATGGCCTCGTTTATCACCTCTTTGGAATAAACTAACCACATCTTTCTAGTCTGTCTTTGAAAGTCTTTATGCTGGATCATGCTTAGCCTACTCCAAGGCCTGTGTAATTCTTCAGTATTCTTGTTAAAGGGCCTCAGCAGTGATGACCAAAGTGTGCAAGATGGTGCTGCACTGTTGCTGGTACTGTGATTTTTCAGTCCAGTCTTTATTCAGCCTAATACCTTGTTAGCCTGCAGCTGCATGTGGAGCTCTGGGTCCCAAAGAGCAGCACATGATAGCAAGGTCCCAGTGCTTATATGATTAATTTTGAACCCTTTTGAAGCATGTGAAGAGTTGAAATTTTTGTCTCTTAGTGTATCTTACTCTGCACTGCTTCACCTTGCAATGACATTGAACAGCAATTCTGCTGTGTCGCCCATTTGCCTAAATTACGTCTCTCAGAAGTTTTACAGCTCGCTCTGATGAAGGTAAATAGTGTCATTTGCAAGCATTGACTCTGCACAGCTCACTGTGCCCCAGGTGTTTTTTATTAAAAATATTTTATATCTCACCTCTCTGAAACCTGCTTTTTCCCCATTAAAGAATGTTTCTTCAGCATATCTCTTTTTAACAAGGGAAACTAATTTTGGCAATACCCAGAACCCTTCCTGTGTAAGCCCCCTATTCTCACAATGTCGTTGTTTGTTTCCCCAGTTGCATCTCTGCTCATTCAGTCTAAGGTATAATGCTTGATGTTGTCTTCTAATATAGCTAGGACTTGGGGGCAATCACAAATAGTTCAAATAATTAAAACTCTGTATATACAAGCTCAAAAAATAGCTGAGCCACTGCTGTTTCATTCCAGTTTACATCAGTGTAACATCACTGAAATTGGTAGAATTTCACAAGCCTTATCTGGAATAATAGTTGCCAGTCTGACCATTTAATTACTAGTATTTACAACTTCATTATCTCATCCTTTTGAGTAGTTAAAAACAATCAAGAAATATGAGGAGAAAACAACTCTCCTCATCTCTGATATGCAAAAAGCCACAGACATTTCAGCAGCAAAAAGGAAGGTACCTGTCTTACCAGTGCTTTGTATCTAAATGTGATGTATCCATGTGCACAGACTGATGAATATTAGATTGAAATAGAATATTTCCATTTGGACACTATTTCTTTACTGTCCAGACTTCATTACTGAATCCATCCTTTGCCATTGCTCAGTAATTGTCACACAGTGATGCAAATGCCAAGCAAAATTAAAGTAGTGAAGCATTTATAGTCCTTAGAGAAGATACTAGATGCAGACTATAATTGCAGCTGGCAATTTTAGATTTCAGAGGGATTTGTACTGTTCCATCAATGGTCCCCTACGGTTTAAAATAGCCAGCCAAAGAAATCACATATGCTACTTAGAGAAGTAAAAAATGCAGAATAAAAACTTCAGCAAATAGTTATTGTCTGTAATGGATCAATTAATTTTCATCAAGAGGCTGATTAGGATACTTCAGTATTTATGCATAATCCTCACAGTTTTTAGTTTGGAAGAGCTCATTGGCTGTCACATTTGGCAGATCAGAATTTAGTATTATAAAGAGAATGTCATTTTTAAAGACACTTACAGCCAGGCATATTGAGAGATTGACCATTGGCATATTGTGTGGGACCAAAATCATCCCAGGTGTAGTTCCTCCAGCCTTATTAGAGTTGCACCAGGAATCAATTTGGCTCAGAACTGTTTGTTCAGATCCTGTTTAAATGTAGCTTGGAACCTCTGAACCTCCAGTCAGTCCCAGAAAATTGTTTTGACTTTATTATTGCATCCGCCAACTGGTAGAGAGACTCCAGAGCAGACTTCACCATGTCGCCTGTCCCATCCATGCTGGGAGAATAGTGCCTTGACTCACACCAGACCAGTTATAAGGGTAAGGCTGCAGAGACTGTATCTTATAGCAGGATCTGGCCCACTACACACCTGCTCAGCAATAAGACAAATTAACACCTTTGTGCCTATCATAGAAACACTTCACATGAATGTAGTGCTTTGCTGGTGTGTATTCTGTATCATGGCTTAGCCCATGTAGATCCAGACAAAAATGGAACTTTTTGCCCAAGATGGCAAAGTATGTCCTAGAAAAGGCAGGAGATCCCACATCATGTGAATTCAAGCCACATGAATAGGCCACTGCACCGTAGACTATTTCTGGGCAGTCTTTACACAGCAATTACAACAACAAATTAGAAGACCTCCTCCTCTAAGCAAACCAGACTGGACTACTCCAAAATGTGAAGCAAGGAGCAAAAATAGTAAATTAAGATGCAGAACTTCCAGCTCATAACCACATGTGACTTGGGGATAGGAAATGGATGCTGGAGGCTGTGTTCTTGCTGCTAAAAACCCTTACAACTCCATTGACTTCTACTCTGAAATGCAGACCTTCTGCGCTAAGTAAATCTTTAAGTGGGTATGGGTTTCTTTTTTTTTTCTTTCCTGCCTGCTCAACTTTTCTCAAACTCGTCCTCCATTTTATCCCTCTGGTACATGCACAGCTTCAGACATGCTCAAGAAGTGCATACAAGTGACCATAAGACAGAAAGCAGAAAACAAGAGGAAAAACAGGATTCTGAAAATTAACAGGCAGAGGGAAAAGACAGATTTCTGCCTTCTGCCTGTCTCTCTGGCTGTGTTGGACCTGCTGGGAAGTACTGGTCCCCTGGTTATTCAGGTTAGAGCAGGGGGCAGGAGGACCTGGATTTAGCTTTCAGTGGCTGTCAGGGTGAGAGGAGTGGGGAATATCTGGGCTATGACTGTGAAGCAAGGACTCTAGACAGGCTGTGGATCTGAGCTTGGAGGTTGTCCCAGGAGCAATGATAAAGGCATGGCCTGTCAGGAGCCCCTGGTGAAGGAGGAGGGCCAGCATTGATGGGTGGTGCACAGAAAATCCTCATGTCTCCCAGAGACTGCGGGACGAGTACTGTCCCCTGGTACTGAGCCAGGTGCTTCAGTGCCAGTCCTTGCACTTCTTTTTCACCAAGGAATCATAATGGTGGTCGTAAGAGACTGCACAGACTTCTTCAATCGACATATTATTTAGTAGGCACACAAGCCGTTTAGAGAAAATGTATCTATCTGTTTCTGTATAGCTATACACTACACCAGACTTTGCTGAAGACTTTGCACTCCCTTGACCTGGGAAGACTTGGGGTTTTTGCATGTCTTTCACAAAGTGTCTCCCATACCCTAAAGACAACGTGTGTCTTTAGACTACGACTGATCTGCCATGCATCCTACGAGAGAGGCTTTCTAAAGCACTCAAGTGGTTTTTGAGTCTTTTAAACCCCCAACTCTAGTGAAGGTGCTCATTAGCAATTAGATACAGGAGTATTAAAGCTGAGATTTTGGTCCACTGCTTTTCAAGAATGCATGGCAGTGTCCTTATCTGTTTTCCCTGAATTGCTTCCATCCTGGCTTTTCCCACCTGCTGGAATAGGATGACCTAATCGTACAAAAAGTCTGGTAATTCAGTATTATTATCACCACATTGCTAATAATGTTAAGGGAACTTCTTGATATTCACAGTATTACTACTGCTCAGCATCATGTCTGTCTCATCAGCACACTCCTACCCACCTCGGGGCAGAGGGCAGGCTGGCTGCAGGTCACAAGGCAGGGGAGATACATAAAGGCTGCCCACAGTGCGTGTCAGGGGACTGCTGCCCATCACTGGCAGGTGCCACAGGCAACCTGATAAGATTTTGCAGCCCTAGAAGATTTTGTGCTGTGCTGCTGCCAAAAGCTGTCAGTTGTAGGAGTCACGTTTAACCCAAGACCATGCCCGGTGTGAAAGCAAAAAGAGGTGAGATGGGGGAGCAGCAGCCGTCTGCACATTAACTAAATAATTAAATAGAAAATAATTAAATTAGAAACAAATAAAGAAGAAAGTAACTTCTTGCAGTGTCCACGCAGTACTTTTTGCCTCTCTTGTGACTTTGAGTGATGGACATCCCATTGCTCGACTGAATACTGTGAGTGTGTCACTGTATATGTTCTGCTGGCTTTAAAGCAGTGAATCAATGGCAAGCTCCTCTGTCAGATATACAGTAGTGCTCTGCATTG